TTAATGGAAATTTTGAAAGGACAGTAAGATGTATTTATATTTTTTAAAAGCTGGAGTAATCAGCTGTTTGTACTTATTCTAAATTTACTAGTTTTTTAAGCCTCATTTGGAACTAGTAAGTGTTCCAGATACTTACACATGCTTCTTCTGATATTTCACTCCATTTTTCTATCCCACATGTTTATTCTCCTACTGCTTGTTCACTTTTAGGTATTAGATACAAGCTCCCTGGTAGGAAATCCAGTTCCCCACCACCACAAACCCAAACTTCACCTTCCCAGGCTTTGCGTACAGTTGTAACTATAGAGCACAAGTACATATTTCATATACAAGCATATAAATACTATTCAGCGATGGCAAAAGAATCTTGGGTAAGACAAGGGAATGAGCAGGCTGGTGACGATGAATCCCAGTGAGAGGGCCACACAGCACAGTAGGCAAAGCAACCCATCTACACTGGGGGAGATGAGCACTCAGTGGGGATAATGGAAGGGGGCAGAGGGATTACGTGATGTCTGACTATATTGCTAAAAAATGTCAAGTCCACTTAATTGGATCTGAAATAGTGATGGAGTGCAGGAAAGTTAAACAGGTACAAAAACAAAGTGATTCTTATTAACTCCAGGGATAAAATTTTACAGCAGAGGATATGTAATTCAAGTACACTAGATTCCTTGTATCCTGGATTTCACATTCTCTCTCTTGTTAGGAGTTTTAATGTATATGAATAAATTTATTAGACTTTGCATGTTGCCTGGTTTTCCCTTTACTTCACTGGCTATCTGTCCCAGTCTTCCTCTCTAGTTTCTCCTCTTCTTGACCCTGAATACCTGGGCACCCAGGACTCAGATCTAGGCTGTATTCTTTACTTACATTGACTCCTTCACTCCTAAGGTGACCTTACCTACTCCTATGGATTCAAATATCACCTATATTCTGAGAAATAACAAATTTATAGAATCAGGCCTGATTTTTGTGTTAACTTACTCAAAATCTTCTCCAGTCTATTCTCAGGCACATCCAATCGGACATTCTTTTCACCCACCCACTGTAACAACACATTCCTCTCCAGCATTCCCCATCTCAGTAAATAGCAACACCACTCACTCAGGTGTTCAAACCAAACCAACAATGCATCCTTGACGCCTCCCTCTCACTTCGTCTGATCCATAATGTCCTATTGCCAGTAACTTAAAATACTTCCAGAATCAAGTTTTCACCACTTCTATCACTCTAGTCTAACAATTATCATCTACGCTCAAAACTACAAACCACTTGCCAAATACCTTCCCTGTTTCCACTTACACACCACTACACCACATTATCTGTATAGTACCTAGGTAGCTGTATATCATAAATCAGCTCAAAAGCCTCTCACACCTTACATACAGTATAAATCCAAATCCTCACCATCGTCTACAAAGTCCTTTAATGACCTGCCTTTGTTCATTTTTCTGTTCTCATCCCTCCTACGCCTTCCAATTCACTATGCTCCAACCATTGGTCTCCCTTCTGCTTTTCCAAAATGCAAACTTTTTCTGGCTTCAGAACCAGGGTACCTCTTCCCAGGGTACTCTTCAAGTGACACCTCCACTTAAACAGTTTCAAGAACAGCTACACATGCACTTACCTATTCTTACACAGTCACTTCTAATATTTCTTTTTCTTTCCCTTCAGGGCACTCATCATGATCTAAATATATTCTTGTTTAATTATTTGTCTCCCCTAATAAAATTTAAGTTTACAACCTATTTTGTTCTTTGCTGTTTCTTAGAAACAAGAGACAAGTACACATGCAACTTCTTAGTTGATTAAATGAGGAAATTTGTAAGCAAGCAGAAAAAGTACATGCAAAGAATATATTAAAAGTTTATCCTCCGTATCACCTTCAAAGAACATTTTCTCAGAACCTAAGAAATCTTATTACCTTCAGAATCCAGAGGATTTTATTTCTAGCATTTTCTACATTAGAAACTGAGTTGCATTATCTCCAAATAAGTTTTATGCAGCAGCATCATAAGTATTACTAAATTACTAAATGCAGCATCATCATAGGTACATTTTATCACTACTTTTATACTAACATTCCATTTCATAACATTCTAGTTGCTTTTAGCTGTTTTTTGGTGTTGTTGTTGCTGTTGTTTTTTAAGTATTTCTCACTCTTATTTTAAGATGCTTACAATACTACACTGGAACATATTGCCATTGAATCATGAAAATAATAATAAATTTGTATCTAAAATGTTAGACAATTAACCTAAATCCTTTTTTTAAAATTTTAAGGAGAAAAAAACAATAAAAACAATGATACAGAACCTCAAAACAAAGCTGGGCGTGGTGGCACATGCCTGTAATCCCAGC